CAACAGGAATTTCTGAAGGATTAGCATAAATTTGCATATCTTGAATGAACCGTGCATTAATCTGCAGAATGATTTGTGTCAGTATCCTTTTCTTTGGAGTAATGCAAATTGTTTCAGTTTTCAACATTGACTGACTACCGACCTTCATTTGTGCAATACTTCTCCTATGGAGTTCTGCCCGTGAAGAAGAATTCTGTACAGGCTACAAATATATGGAACCATCAAAACTTGACAGGAAAATGCTACTAATTAATAAAAGAGATGGTAAGAAAAGGGCAGATAGTTCACTGTAAGCATCAAGACAAGACAATTACATCAGGATGCAACTTTCTTGAACTGGAACTCCTCAGAAGTGAATGGCGAGGAGAAGACTTGCCACTCAAACTGCACAAATAACGATGTGGCATGTCAACTTTTGAATGAACAATCCATATTGACCATTCTGATTTTCGGTCAGCATCCCAAATATTGCGCAAGTGATCCAATATCTTGATTTTGTTTGCCCTGCAGTAAATCTCAAGACTTTGGTCGGACAGAAAATAAAATGAAAGAATAAGAACAGTAATTAACAAATCATTACACCAACACATTAGAGAAGTAGCCAATGGCTATCTTGATTCTAAGACAAAATAAAAAAACCACAGATAACCTCACCTATGAAATTTCAAGAATGCATTCCATAAAAATGAAACTTGATCGCTCACAGCTTGAAATAATTCTAACAAATCTTCCTTGGAAAGGGTGTACAGCAGAATGTCATTAGTGCTCCGAACCACATTATCAGATCTCTGGAATTAGTTGTAAAAAGAATCGTAAACAGTTAGTAAAAGTATCATATGTGACAAAAATTGTCACTTTTGAGAGACCAAATCAAGTGTACCTCTATTAGATCATGTAAAACACCAGTAAGATGGCCAATGCACTTCGTGGGTATATAGAGCCCTTTGCTATATTTAGGCAAGCCTGCCTTTGATGAATCGATCGGCTCATGTTTACCAAGAGTTAAATCAGCATCATCTAAATCTTCAAGAGTTTTACCAATGCCAGCACTCATCTTCATCACTTCCTCAAGCAAAATTTCTCTAGAACTTAATAGTGCTTTTATAATATAACATGATTTTGAGCATAAACCTTGCTCAGATGCCTGCATATTGGCAGCTTTTAGGGATAATAAATGAAGGCAACATGTTCAGGTCATTATTTTTTAATATATGAAGTCGTTGACTTTTTAGATAAGTTTGACCATTCGTCTTATTCAAAAAATTTATGTAATTATCATATATTTTATTGTGATTTGATTTATTATCAAATGTTCTTTAAGGATGACTTTTTTTTTCATATTCGCACAAAAAAAATTGAATAAGACGAATGGTCAAATATTTGTCAAAAAGTCAACGGCATCATATATTAAAAAAGGAGGTAGTATATGCTCAGCACCCTATAATGTTGCCAAATTTATCAAATGTTCTAGCAATCTCAGTCTCTCAGACAAGCTTTTTTGTAAGGTCACCAGTATGGCAGTGTCTAAAAGAATATTAAAGCTAAAGTATCACAAACCTGTGTACCTTCTGAGACGATTTGGTCACACCAGCTTTTAGGTACACGATATGCATTGTTAGATCAACAAGCACAGGGTGGAAAGCATCAAAATGGACAGGAAAATATGCGTGTAAACCCAGGAGTGCTTTGTATGGGATTCTAAATTCATGCACTGGGACATATATGTCACTTGGATCTTCAATCTCAGTCCTACAATAATTTTTTTTAAAAAAATGGAAGCAGCTTCAGTACTGATGAATGGATGTTGATTTTGTAGGCACACAAGTACTCCCCAAAACGAACAATATAATGTGAACACCAAAATAAGATGGAAAGGGAAAGCAAAGAACATACCTGTCTTCCAATGTTGGAACATAGATGAGCTCAAATTTTAATATTACAGACGAGGTTGCTGGGCCCTGGAATGGAGAAAGCAGAAGTTCAGACCAGCCATTGTAAACATAATTCAGTTAGGAAAAGAAAGTTAAGCTAACCTCATCTTCGGTGTTGGGTATGTAGAAAGACACCATAACTGATAGATAAATATCTTGTCTAGAATATTTAATCTGGAATGGTTGTGTATAGAAGCTATTGTCAACGTCATCTATTTTCCAAAGGCCAAATGCTCCCTTCGAACCAATATCAGGAACTGCACAATCCACCTAGCATGTCATTATGTATTAGCCAAAGATTGACGGTTCAAGATGATACTATACAACAGAAAAAGAAAGAAAAACAAGAACATGAAAAATCCAACCTAACACAATTGATTGTAATTGCCAACAAGACAGCTCTGATGCATCTTGAATTGGTTTTAGTTCAAACCAAACTAATCAACAACAGATCTTAAATTATAGGTACAAGTACATGATTGATGAGCAAACGTGCAAAATATATAGCACATATCACATATTGCCATCACAGAATAGGTGCAAGAAATGCACAAACCTTCATATTGCACGACCCTGGCAGGAGATACGGGCGCCCTGTACTCATCCTCCTCCCACGCCGCACTAATCTTCAGCCGGTACCATCTGCACCCAAATAGCAAACACAATCACATACACCTCGATGAAACTGAATCAAAATTGCAATTCAGAGATAGATTTTCATCAGATTCATAAACAGACAGAACAATCAAAATCGTACAGAATAATTAGGTTCAAGTCTAAATTTCCAAAGCCCAAATTCATCCTGGTAGAATCATCAGCAAGAAAGGTAAAATTTCTGCCGTTCGTTCCTTACCCTTGCTGGAACAGGTCGAGGTTGTGGAAGCGGTCGATGTAAATGGCCACCTCGTGCGCCGTCTCCATCACGGCCTCCCACCCACCCCGCCGGCGACCCGCGGCCGGAGAAGCTTCGCCTACCCCGCTCCGCTCCACCAACGCCGGCGAGATCGGCCACCTCCCACCTCTCCCTGCCGCGCCTCCGCGCCTCCGCGCGGCCACCCATTTACCACCTTCCCCTCTCCCTATTCTTGTCTTCCAACAATGGGCCGCACCGCGCGCGTCAAGGCCCAACAACCCATTCGCGTATTGGGCCGCGCCCGGAGGCCCAATACTGGAGTCCGTAACCGTAAGGAAGAAGTCCATTTTGGTTCGGAAAAAGTACACCAAAGGTCCCTCAACTTGTCATCGGGATTAAAAAACGTCATCGAACCGTAAAACCAGATATACGGGGTCCCTTAACTATACAAAACCGGTCACCCGAGGTCCTTTGGTGGTTTTGACCCCGGTTTTAGTCTACGTAACGGCTGAGTCAGCGGGGGACCCACAAATCAGTTGTCCACGTCACCCTCTCTCTCTTTCCCTTTCTTTTTTTTCTCTTCTTTTTCCTCTCCTCTTTGCGGGGCTGAGCGGCGGCCGGCGAGGCGGCTTGCGAGCGGAGGCGCGGAGGAGGAGGCGGGAAAGGAGGAGGGCGGCGCCGCGACGGCGGCCGCCAGCGGCGGCGGCAGTGGGGAGGCGGTCATGCGGGCAGCGCCGGAGGAGGCCTCGGGCTTGAAGGCGAAGAGCGCATGGAGGCCGTGCTTCACTTGGATGGCTCGGATCTGGAGGCGGTCGTGGCGAGGGCCCACCAGGGCCGACCGAAAGACGCCCACCGGGCTGGCGCCTTGCCGGTAGAGCTCGACTCCGGCGAAGCCGAGGAGAAGGCCGGGCCGGCTTAGACTGGAGCGTCGGCCTCCATGGAACGGCCGCCGCCACGTAGAAGAGGAGGAGGACGCTAGCCACCGCGCTGCGGCGTGATCCGGCGGGGACGAGAGGGACGACGACGCCAACGAAGAGGAGAGGAGACGAGGGGGACGACAACGGCGCCGCCCGCACGACCGCCTCCCCACTGCCGCCGCCGCTGGCGGCCGCCGTCGCGGCGCCGCCCTCCTCCTTTCCCGCCTCCTCCTCCGCGCCTCCGCTCGCAAGCCGCCTCGCCGGCCGCTGCTCAGCCCCGCAAAGAGGAGAGGAAAAAGAAGAGAAAAAAAAAAGAAAGGGTAAAGAGAGAGGGTGACGCGGACACCTGATATGTGGGTTCCACGTGGGTCTCTTGCTGACTCAGCCGCCACATAGACCAAAACCGAGGTCAAAACCACCGAATGACCTCGGGTGACCGGTTTTGTATAGTTAAGGGACCCCGAATATCTGGTTTTGCATTTCGAGGACATTTTTGTATCCCGATGACAAGTTGAGGGACCTTCGGTGTACTTTTTCCTTTTGGTTCCCTTCAACTATACCCATAGTTTGATTTTTTTAAGACTAAAAAAATGCCCGTGGATGCTATTTTAATTTAATTATTATTATACGGTTTAGTTAGGGTGAAATTTATTGTGGGAATTCATTTGGATATTTTTTTAAGAAAATCATAAGTTGTAATTAGGAGGTCGCATTTCATCTCAAGTTAGCATTCGAGTTTTTTTAAAGAGATTTCTTATATGACTTCTTTTGTATTTCCAAAAGCACACGAGCTTAAAATGCAACTCAAACATGGATCTATATTTCCAAAAGCAAATGAACTTAAAACTGACTCAAACACGGATAATGTACCAAAATACCGGCAAAAACATTTTCATGTTTTATAATAGTAGAGATAGAGATATAACGGGTAGAAATCCGACCTCTATATCCATAATTGGATTTACACAGTCAATACCCTAGTTTGATTGTTGTCAAGACCAGATATGAAGACTCCCCTCAACCCTTAAAACCGTCCAATTCAACTTCCCAGGAGGTTTTCAGAGTGGTTCGGTCCGATGTGACGCTTATATGGCATTAAATTACAGTAAAATAAAATTAATAAATGCAGTGAACTCCACACATCAGTGAAACTCCTCGTTTCCCCTTCCTCCCTGTATTACAATCAAACTGTAGCTATCTTTGAGGGAGGTAAAATAAACATTCTCCCAACCGTAAACCAAACCATCCGCGTAATGGGCCGCGCTTGGGGGCCCAACACTGGAGGCCATAATAAACCCTCGAGAACCCCCTCCACCGGCGCCGTCGCCGCCACCGCCACCGCCTTCCCCTCGATCGCCGGAGCGGCGAGCCCACGGCGGCGAGCGCCGCAGCCATGTCGCGGGCTCTCCTCCCGCGCGGCAGCATTCTACTCGTCCTTCGACCGCGAGTCCCGTCCACACCCCACCGATGCTTCGCGATTGGGGCGGCGGCGGCAGTTGACGGCGGCGAGACGTGGCGGGGGCAACTCCGGCAGGGGGAGGGGGAGGGGAGGAGCAGGGCGGTGAAGGTGTCGGTGTGGTGGGACTTCCAGAGCTGCCACCTCCCGCAGGGCGCCAACCCGTGCCGCGTCGCCACGCGCGTCACGGCGGCGCTGCGGGACGCCGGCATCCGCGGCCCCGTCGACATCACCGCCTTAGGCGACGCCTACATGCTCCCCCGCGCCGTCCAGGAGGCTCTCGCCGCCACCGGCGTCGCCTTCTCGCACGTCCCTTCCAGTTTCGTCTTCCAAACCCATCCCAATTTCGTTACTCATCGAAGTGCCATTGTGGAATTAATTAATATCTCTTGTGTTAATGGAATTAAGGAGTGATATTACTTCATGATGTAGAGAGTACATATCATAGAAGAACACTAGTTTTAATGCTTTTCAATTTATGACTGACACTGATTAGGCTATATATGTCAAAATGATCACCCTTTTTACTGATTCTAATTGATTGCGTTGGGGTTATATCCGGTGTTGGATTGGGTTTGTGGGGTGGGATTGGAAGAAACATCCTGAATTCTTCTTAATGATACTCTGCTCTATATGATTTCCAATATGGTATTGAGTTTGTGCTAAATGTGTAAGTATTTCTCCAACTGTTAGCAATGAATCATAATTTTTCATTTTCAGACAAATTTGCAGTGCTTTGGATTGTTGAAACTTGCAAATTAACCACTGGCATGCTTTAAATGTTGTGACTTTCATGTTTAACGAGGAAATTTAGAGCAGCTTATATTTCACTTATCTGATGCTGCTACTTCGTTGCATGATATTAATAAATAGTTTGATATTGTAGGTGGAAAGGGCGGTCCCGACCAATTGTTCATGGCTGATCTGACCTATTGGATTGCTCAGAATCCTCCACCGGCCCATTTCTTCCTTATATCTGGCAACAAAGGCCTTGCAAACATTCTGCATCGCCTCCGGATGAGCAATTATAATGTACTGCTTGCCTGCCCCAGTGCTGACTCTAGTGTATTGTGCAGTGCAGCAACGATTATGTGGCCATGGGATGCTTTAGTTAAAGGGTTGGATTTCTCACCAAAACATTTTAACCAACCACCTGATGGTATATCCTTTTCTTGGTACGGTCACTATAGGGGACCCCTTGATGACTTGTTCTTGAACTCAGAGTCAGATGACTCTATGGCAGAGTCAGAGGACTCCCTGGCAGAGTCAAGGGACTCCAAGGCTTTTCAACCACATACCAAGTCAGTGAAACCACCTATTTTACCCAAATCTGTGGCCAATGGGGTTAGGCAAGTACTGTACTCCTTTCCTGAAGGTATCAGTCTTCCAAATCTTCGAGCAGAGCTTAGAAAGAATCATGTGTTCATGGATAAAGGATTATTTGGCTTCAAAAACTTCTCTTCTCTTCTCCAAGCCATGCCTGATGTTGTGAAGTTTATAGATCCTCTACCAGGTGAAAGAAACCAGCCTGCTGTGGTTGGGGTTTCCAAGAGATCAATGGAGCCTGCTGAGCAAATTTACAAGGGAAAGAGTTCTGCTCAAAGCAGTGGTGAGTTCAAACGCCTCGTTCAGACTCTTAATGAGAAACCACCATCATCACATGTCCCATCTTCTTCATCAGATATTTTATCTGCGGACCGCAAGAAAGTTCTAGCAGTTGATGCCCCATCTTCCCAATCTGACTTGTTATCTAGGAACCAAGAGAAAGCTCCCCCTGTTGATTTGACTACACAACCTGAAACACCTGCAAGCTGTATGGAAGCTGATGTGGAGAGTGTTGCTGGAGCTTCTGCCTTTACAGGAGAGCAAATTACTGTTGACAAAAAGGGGCTATTTGAAAGGATTTGTGTACTATGGAATGATACAGAGCCTGTTAAGCCTATGCTTTCTCCGTCTCAAGATGATACCCATTCTAAAGGCTCCAATGATTTACTAACTCAGTATGCCAATAGTAACGAACATAACAGTCTTTTGACAAGGACCTTGAAGATCTTTTCCACAACTGACAATTCAGATGGAGACAATGTTGACAGCACTTCAGCAATTAGCAGCAGTTTCTCAAATATGACTGCCAATGACCATTCGGACAAATTAAATGTCAAGGAGAATGTAGGGAATACGATCATCCATTCTAGTAGATCAGTTGACACGAGCAACGCTGAACATAAAGTTGGGTTTATAGAAAAAAGCAAAGGAATATTTAGCTGGGCTGCAAAGTGGTGGGCGTCTGGAAAACCAGACACAGATGACAATTTAAGTTCAGTACATATCAATGATGGAACAAGGGAAGAATCAGAAAAAGAATCTGCATTTGTAAAGACAGCTGCTACTGCAAGTGAACAGCAAGTAGGAGTTGAACTGTTCATGAAACCTTACTTCTGGGATGCACTACAGCAATATTTGTCTACCCCTCATGGATCAGATCTTGTTTCAAAAGCAAAGACAAGGTATTCTGCTTCTCAAATTACTTTTATCTACATATATAAATGTTTCTACTTTGCCTGCAATTCTATCTTTAGCAGATTCCAACATGCACAGATAGTAACTGTAGTTGACATTGAACAAAAATGCCATATCCTAACTACAAGTCCATGGTTCTGATTGCAAGCTGCTCTTTTACTATGCTAACAGCAAGCAGAAACTAATCTCTTGCAGCACACCAAGAGATAATCAAAATGGTAAGAACTGAATATGCAAGCATGCGGGGTGATAATGGCTGCTGGCTGTGATCATATTCAATAATTGTAGTTCTTATATTTTACTTTATAATTGCACTTTCCTCTTCAAGTTCCTGATTTTATTCTATATTTTGTTACCAATGCAAATCTTATCACAGAAGATACGAAATAAATGCAGTCTTAAAATAAATGATGACTCAAATAATTTCATCTTTTATAATTCTTGTTCTTAGGTGGACATGGACCCAAATGTCTCACCTCAAATATAACTAGAATCATTTCTGAGTAAAGCTTCACTCAACCTAGCTGCTTGTTTTTGCCAGGGAGGAGTTAGCGCATGGACTACAGAAGCAAGGCCATTGGCCTCTAAAAAGCCTTGGTGGGAAACACCACCACCAATTAGTAGATTTGCTTATCTCAGAAAAGCAATGGATCAAAGAATCTTCATCACAAACGTCTCCTTTTCGACTTGCCCTCCCCCAGAGAAGAGCTCGTTCTCCACTACTTTCATTTTTTACGAATGGAAGGCCATCAGGCCAGCGTAAACATGTCGATGACAGAAGCCCAACTCTGTCTAGAACGTCGGTCCATGTTTTACCTACAAAAAATGGGAAGGGTCAGGCCAGCTGCAAGAGCAATGAGAATCAAAGTAAGAGTGATGACTTTTTGGAGAAAGAGCTTGGTCCAGTATCTGACAGTGGTAAACCATATCGACAAAATGATAAAGCAGTCCGGCATCATCCTCCTACCTGTTCAGATGATGAATTTTCTGATGATGAAAATCATGAGGTGGTCCAAGAGGCTGGGAGAGATGCAGCACAAAGTTCACTCTTCAAAATTATTGATTCGTGGAACACTAGTAAGACTATTTGTTCTAGCAAGAAACAGCACGGCATTGGTGGTATAGTGGACTGCTCTAGAATCAACAGAGGTAATGGTGGTGACAATTCGATCACAGAAAATGCAGAAAAGGCTACAAGCTTATCAAAACATTCTTATATGACCTCAGATTCAGATTCAGATTCAGATGAAGAGAAGTTATTCAACAGTGTCTTGGGCAGTCTGCAGAATGCAAAGAACTCAAGTTTGCCCGGTTGAAATGATGTATGCAGTCATACTAACCCCATGAACTCTTCTGTAATCAATTTGGTTCCATACCATCATGTGATAATTTGATCTTTCTGCCATTCTGGGCTAGGTGGAGGCGTGGAGCAGCTTGAGGATGCTTTAGAAACATCTTCCCAAGCTCAGTTAGATTTATGAAGATCACGTTACAGTAGAATGTTCTGTTTATTTTTTATTTTGTTGGAGAGGAATCCTCATATTCTTTTGAGATGCTAAGGTTTGTGCTGGTGTAGTTAATTAGTTCTGGGCATCCTTAATTACCGGAAATTGGTAGGGGTATTAGGGTATATGTCGATCTGACTTTGCCTACCGTTAGATATGTGCTTCTGCAATTGTTTTTCTGTACCTAGAGAGACGAACACGTCAAATGTTTGAGCTATTCTAACAAAAAAGTGAGACTCTTTAGGTCCGCTTGCATGCGAACAGATTTGGTTGATATCTGGGCCTTTGAGGTTATGTTTCACAAATTGCTGAAAATGGAAGTACTCAGCATTTGTGGAACTGTCTCGAATAAAAACAAAACAAAACTTTGAGTGCCAGATCGCAGTATTCCCTTTGGAATACACATCTAATTGTCTTGCTTGTCTCCATCTGGTGATGCCACTTTCTCAGATTTCAAAAAGAAAAAGAAAAATAAAACGAATTCTGTTTATACTGGCATGCAGTGATCGGCTAGAAACAAGAAACTGGTACCAAATCTTTGAAACTAACTACAGAACAGAATGCACATATCACATCGAGTCAAATTTAAAAGACGGTTCCTTTCAAAAGAAATTTTTTGAAAGGACTTGACTTTATACTACCTCCGTCCCAAAATATAACAAAAATTATTATATTTTAGGACGGAGAGAGTATCTACTGGGCAAAGCAAGAGTACTTTTTTTTTTGATAAAACGGGATGCTTACTTGATGCCAAATAGAGTGTTTAAATTTGACATCGCCAGAATCCCCTAGGTATTACCAAAGGTTCAAAATGGCAGCACAAACCAAGCAACCAGAGCACCCTCAAAAGCTCAAGCATTTTAGCTCTGGACCATTCTCTGGCCATCCTGGGATACTCCCAACATCTCCCTTTTCGCCTCTTCCTCGCAACCAAGGGAATTGTATCTAGCCCAGTGCCTGCCTGTAATTCTGTATGACTCTTTTAGAACTCCCTTCCAGCCTCCAGGCCAGTCATGAGTTCACAGAGATCCAAGCGTTGAATTCGTCCATTCTTAGCGCAAACGAACTTGAGCTTGGTTTTCCACCACCACCATATGCCTAACATAATTTTTTTTAATGATGAAAGCAATATATGAACAATTAAAATACAATCAAACTTTAAGGCAATTCAGGATTATGAAATAATCAAACAATCATTAAAGACAGCATACCTTAGCAATCTCTGCCGTATTGGTACTACTGTCTGTTGTCCTCAAGCAGATCTTCAGGAGACCACGTTGCATGAAGACCACTGCTCCGATAGGTCTATGAAAGAAAAGGAGAGTTCTTCGATACAATTAAAGGATCAAAGTGAAGTATGCATATGGGTTCATGTGCTTTGAAACTTGAACAAAGCTTATACCTTAATCCAGCAGCAGTACTCATCTTGCTCAACTCCAAGCCAATTTCATGGCTTAATTTTGAATTCCCGTCTGCTCTGATCGCCTAATAGCATGGAAATTTTTTTTAATACAGATAATGATGCATCTTTTTGTGCGAATTATATATTGTTCCACAAAATAACATTCAGAGTAAAATTGTACATGGCCACCAAAACACTATGGATATTGCTTTACTAGCCAAATGATTTAGAGCAAGACTGATGCTTGGTCGTGTTCAAGAATCAAAACAAGGTTACAATAATACTTCAGGAACATGAGAATCCATTAACACATATTGTTAACCATTTAAGCATGAACATATGTAATTTGAACATAGAATGGCTACTCAGGATTCATGACTGATATCAGCTAGGAAAATAGGCTGTTCATCTATCCATTTGAACTATTGATAGGTGCTGCAGTCAACTAAACAAAGAAGAAAAGAATGAGTTACAGCATTCGACTTTGAACAACAGATGCTTATGTCCAGTAACTAAAATCATTACTGCAAGAGCATTTCTTGCTGCAGACTGCATGCTTTTTCTAAAGTAGCCCAATCAGAAGGCTTCAGCAAACAAAAAGGAGGGTGCTATGAAGCTACCAAATGTTATATAATACACAAATGATTGAAAGCAGTATGAGTGCAAGAGCATCCTGTTAACTTACAAGGCATTCACCGTGCAATCCTCTTCCGAGATGAATCCTAAATGGCTTGTGTATTAACTTCCCTGCAGCTTCGAAGCGATCGTGAGCAAGTGACTTCCCCCTAGAAAGCAGATTGCAAACATCAAGTTGCTGCAGCTGTTCGAGGTACCATTAATGCAGTCATTCACCATGTAAGGGGTAAAGTTAAGGAACGGTAAGTATGACAGCAACGTTTAGATCTTTACCTGTTCAAATACAAGAGGATTTGTGATACAGTTCAACTTAGCGCGCTCATCCCTGAGTGCTGTCTGAAATTCCTTAGCATTGGGCAGCTTCCACTGGCGCAGGTCAGCATCTTCTATGTATTTGAGAACATTAAAAACCCTCTCCTCATCTTCTTGGTCCAACAGCTTCTCACACATATCCTGTGGAAAAGAGAACAGACCCATTTTCCTTTTTCCCTCAAATGACACCAGATAATGAACTGGAATATAAAATATTCCCAACTCACAGAATCGGATTTTATCTCTGCAAGGTTCCTGGAGAAATAATCAAATGTAGCTCGAGCACTGCTCTTTGTTGTGTCAATGTTAAGCTCAAGATTACTTGGGCAATGACCCAAATGGGGGATTCTTGCTAGTGTACTTCGCCGGTGATCAAATGCGATTACACTGCATAAATTGCAATGTCAGAAGGATATATTCAAGCACTGGATTGTTCATAAGCTCTCATAAATTATACTTCTGATCATCAAAAGTTTCTTCAACAAAAGAATTTCAGTGTAAGAAAAAAAGAAATTTCAGGGGGACATTGTCATGACTGGAAATATTATCATATATAAGTAACTTTGGTGTGTAAAATTAGTTAGTAACTCCAGTAAATACTACTACTAACATACACAGGTATAATGGTCAAAGGGTGCCTAAAGCAACTTCTCAGTTACATAGGCACTAAAAAACTCAAAACATAATCAACAGACTTCATGAAATGTTCTCATCATTGTGCCATTTGTGTGTGCAAAGATTGTAGTAAGGATACACTAGATTTTGTTCCTTCCTTTTCTTTCCTCCATACAAAAGCTACTTGCTTTTTCATACTCGAATCATCCCATAAAGCATATTTGTCGGCAAACAAAAATCTAAAACAGATTATTTATGTTTCATCAACCACTGAAAATCAAAGAAAATACTGTTTAGTTGTTCATCATCTCGTTTTCTTCTGTAACTCACAAACTTGTTCCTGCAAGGAATTAGTCCACGCACCTAGGGATGAATCGAGAGAGCTCCAAAGCGAAGTTGTTTGGCCCAATGAAATCCAACAGGTAGCACGTCTGGAACCCCGCACCCTCGAAGTCTCCAGCTCTACTCGATCGATCGATCGATCAATTTTGAAATTTCCATTTCAAGAACACACACACCAACATCAAGAAAGGAAAGACGTATGCAAGAGCCGATTAAAATGGGGGGAAGAACAAGCGAGGGGGGAAACCTGAAGGGCTCGACGGAGGAGAAGGGGAGCACGAGGAGGCGTCGGCGGAGGCGGCGGTGGAAGAGGTCGGCGGCGAGCGCGGCGTAGCCGCCGGCGAAGGTGGGGTAGTTGTAGAGCGCGAGGTGCGCGGGGCCGTCGGCGTCCTTGGAGTGCGCGCGGATGGCCTCGAGGGCCGCCTCCGAGCGGAAGGCTCGCCGGAGCTCGGTCGCCGCCGGCGAGGCAACGCCGATGAGGCGGTGGCGGCGGCTTAGCATTCGTTCTCTTTATTTTTTTCTCTTTTTTCAGGTAGATGGGCCTGAAGTGAAGCCGGCCCATTATTGGCAAGCGTACGTGCAGGTGCGAGGCGTACACCGTTTGGGATTCATACGTATATTTATACACACAACTGGTAGATTCCTAGGCATACGTACGTATACGTATACAAAAATATTGTTACTGCGGCGAATTCCCCGGCGGCGGCGCGCGTGCGGCGTCGTCATCCAACAAGCTCCCGGCGCCGCCGCCGCCGCCGGCGGCGGCGCGGCGGCTTCTGCTTCCACGGCGCCACACGAGCGCCATGACAGCGAGCAGGATCACGGCGGGAGCGAGGACCATGAACAGCGACGGCCGGCTCCCCCGTCGCCGCCGCCGCTGCGGCCGTCTCCTCCTCCCCTGCCGCGACCTCCTCCTGCCGCCGTCGGCTGCCTCGGCGGCGCTACCATCACTCCCGCTGGTGCCGCTACCTAGCTCCTCCTCCTCCTCCTCCGACGACGACACTGCAGGATGATGCTGCGTCACCGCCGAATCCTCGACGTGGACCGGCTCCTCCACGGGCAGCCCCGGCGCCCGCAAGTGGTGCTCCGACGACGCCGACCCGGTCTCGACGTCGTCCACGTGCTGGTGCTGCTCGACGTCGAGGTGGTGGTCACCGTCGCCGTCGCCGGCCCGCGTCGCCGCGCTCCACGGCCGCCGCCGCAGCCACCACCTCATTGCAGAATGCAGAACTAGAGAGACGGCGGCGCGGGCGGGTGTCAGATGTCTGCGCGTATCTATCTAGGAGCACTGTATATATAGAAGTGGAAATTGAGGAAGACGACGAGGGAAGCAGCAGCATCTATGGGTGTACGGACGAGCCTTTGGCTGCACGTATGCATTTCTTTGTCGCTCCGGCACCGGGGAGATGCCATTTTTTTACACAGTGCGTGTCATCATCAGGACATCACTTGTCTCTCACAAGTCTGACAGCGTCGGCGAAAAGCCTATCTGGGTAACTATGTAATCACTCTGTCATGTAGAAACCGAATCTAGAACTGAATATGACATATTATAATATAACGAATCTAGATAAAGGCATATATGTTTAGATTCATAGTGCTAACATATGTCACATTTAATGGTAGATTGGTTTTCTATGGGACGAAGGGAGTACTCCTATATATCTCATTGGCGCACATATCATACTACCCCTAGCAATAATTATTTGGTATTAAGTTAAGTGAAAAGTTTTTTTTTTCAACTCACCTTATGAGCCAAAATTTAAATTTTGAATTGCTCAGATTCTCTTACTAATAATTGGTTGAAATTGCTCGAATTCCTATGCATTAGAATCAATGGCCTTGATCGGTTGTGTTGGCTACAGCTCGCATCGTAGTTGCAGCTACATCTAATGTGTATTAGGGTTGGTTGGCTGCTCCCGCGCTATGCAATACCGATGGGTCTAAATTCCTAAAAATACTTATGATGTATTATTGAACCGTGCTATTATACTGTGCATTATTAAACAGTATGTTTTGTATTGTGTCTTTGCTTTAATTTGAATAAAGAAATGTTCACCATGTACCGAGCTGGACTGAAATTACTTGAATGGATCATCACCACCCTTGTCTGAAGTAAACAGTACCTACAACAGATAATGCTAATTGTGAATCATTCTTGGCAATTGACTGCATTTGTAATTGATTGTTAATTAATTTTAGGCGCACTATACTGCAAATCATATCAGCTTTCCTGAGCATTTGTAATGATCAATGATCAAAACAAAATATTATTATTATTTATCTTCGTAGCAGCAAGCTTGAGATATTATTGGCAAATCATATCCAAATTGAGATATTATTGGCAAATCATATCCAAATCTCTGTCAATTACGCTATCATGCAGCAGATCAGAGTAAGGTTAGCAAATCATATCCAAATCTTTGTCAGCTGCTATTTTGGCAATATTTCCATGTATTATATGCCCATACATGTCAACTCACAAGACATACAAGGCAATATTGTTATGTCTTTCCATAAATATCATAATAGCAACAATGGTAACTTTATCCTCCTTAGCCTATATATATGTGGGTGAAGGAGTGTGATCCAAAAAAAATTACTGATCCTCCTTAGTCGGCTGCATACGACCGCTCAACTTCAACTCATCATCTTGGTATCATTCTCCAAGCTATCTCTTATGTGTTGGAAATTATTATATACTTTAGTTTGCACCTATTGATCTCCTACTTCTTCTGTATTGTAGTAAGGCATGGCATCCATGGATGATGTGGATTTTTCATCAAATCAAGCCACACCTAAGGAGTCAATGAACTCCAAGGATGATGCGAAGGTGCAGCCTTCATCAGGGCAAACACCAAACAAGGGAAATTATTACATGGGCCACGCGAATGCCATCACGATGATGTTTCAGTATATACGTGATGGTTGCCGGCGTGTTGAGAGTTCCATGGAAGACTACAAGTGCAAGAAGGTAGAAGAAGGACATGGTGAGAAAAGGAAGGTGGAAAAAGGGCATGATCCTCGCTAGTCTTCTCTCATCGAGATAACAATGAAGATCTGCAATGACGACGTCTCCGATGAAGCAACCGAGAAGTAACCATGATTTAGTATTGTCGCTACCGTGTTTTGTCCTTAGAATAAAATAACATTTCTTGTGAATTACACAAGAAAATTCAGTAAACAATGTTGTTCAGGCCTATTCAGTACTGCTTGTGAAATGCACAACCAAATTCGATGAAACTTTGTTGTTATGATGCCTATTCAGTATTGCTTGTGATTGAGTTGATTTCTAGGACATATACAAATGTGCTCTACCTCCTGTTGAACTACTCTGTATTTGTTTTGGCACGATTGGATGAATAGCAATGTTGTCAGGGTTATGGATACCACATACCCAATAGGGATCGACTAAACACGGAAGGGCCCCCTATGTACCATGTCTTATACGGAAACAAACCTCGTATATAGAGGAGTTCTGGATAAGGAAGGACAAGAAGAGTTCTATATGGAAACCATAGGGACTACTCAGATCGTATCCATATCTAGTCTTACTTGGACAAGGGGACATCTATGGGTATAAATACAAGCCCCCCTAGGAGGAGAGGGGACACACCCACCACAATCTACGACGCCACAAAGCCACAAGCCAACATATGTCGCCAGATATCGACATCAGAGATTATCCTAGCCATACCTCATCCGGTACCTACGGGGGGTGGCAAGAGGGATCTAGTGCCATCTCTGATCTCGACGAGTTCGTGCTCAAGGAGGAAGACTACCCTGTCATCGACTACGGGTTGGTTATCTAGCCGCCAAGTCGACGACAATTAGATAAGTTATCCCAGATATTGTATTTGTGTGATTCAGATGAATAAAAAGCAACACCGGCTTCGGCTAACAGGATGTAGAGCTATTACCTGTCAGATAAGGGGTCCAAACCTGTATAAAAATCCTTGTCTCCATCTTTTTTTACCTCAATCTCGCATATACCCTGGTACCAACGATCCCCATACCATCCAAATACCCTAGTCGTGATATCAAACGTCGACAAATGTCCCTTTATATTTTTTTTCCATGTCTTTTTATATAAGGAGACACATCACAAAAAACCAATTGTGGTTTAGATCTCACATAAATAAATTAGGTCGGCCAATTTCCTGACGTTGAATATTTAGTCATGTGTAGCACTATTGATTTCTGTAATTCTTTTGCTTTAGATCAAACACATTTTATTTGCTTCAGGGCTCCATTAATTTAAAGAGCTGACCAATCACATGAATATTGATTTATGAACGTGAAAGCGTATAAAAAAAGCAAATATAATTAACATAAGAAACCAGTATTGCTAATTTGCTATTATGTTGCATATTCAGTCACGATAAAGGAGTAAAGGACTGCTAGATCTCAAACTTATGTGTATGGTCCAAATCCTGTAATGGCCCATTAACAACTAAAATACCCATGATAAATACTTATATGCAATACTCAACCTAAATGCCTTTGATCTGTCACATCTTAAGGCACGATATATGCATTATCTTATATATTTAATGTCATATTATTATGCATTATGACATGTGACACAAATATATTGGTATATCCTATTCTAATATTTTACTTGCAATATATTTGATATATGATCTAAATTGAATTAAAGCTCGAATGCACGTACAGTTCATATAATAATATTTTTTGCTAAACATGAAAAATTTTAAAATTATTAAAGACAAATAGAGTTGACCATAACGTTTAGCACGGGTATATTACTACTACCTCCATCCCAAAATAATTGTATTTCTAGAATTCAAAATTCGTCCCAAAATAATTGTAATTCTAGAGTACTAATTGCCCATCAATCATCTCTCATTTAAATTTCTTCCTATTTTATCCTCAACCATCTTCTCACTCTCACATAAACACCATTTAATGAGGGGCACCATAGTCTTTCTTTTCAAACCTTAATATATGCTAAATAATATAGAATTACAATTATTTTGGGACGGAAGTATTTAAAGTTTGAATCATAAAAGTGTTTGTATTCGGGAGTGGAAGGAGTAGTCATTACGTGGGACACCTAGCTTAGGCTTGAAGCGGCGGATTCTGAAAAGAGGTCTTCCGAGTGTACTTATCTAGTTATCTTCTTGGTGGTCACATGGATTATAGGAAAGGAAAAAAAGATTTATTTTTCGATAAGACACATGCGCACTTACATATATATCCACTCAAAGAAGCGGAGGCTATCGGCAACTTCCTGATCTCACTATTTTTTTAAATAAAAGTACATTAGTATGTGCGTAATTAACATTCGTAGTCATCATGATTTAAACTTTAATGAGTGAAGTCATACGCCTATAACTACACTTTTACAGCACCGCTGCTTCTCTAGAAAGGGAGAAATATTCTGGCCATTTATTTATTTTCCTATCCCATTATCAAACAAGTATATTATTTTCTTTTTTGAGACTTTTATCATTTTTTTACTTGATATATGTCCTGTTAGAATAAATATAGTGTAAATTAACTCATGATCCATATCCCGTGCTCACAAAACCTGCAAATGTGGATGCATCATGCATGTGGCCCTAATTAAATACTCTATGTTTGCTTTAGCAAACAAGGCTCGTGTATTTCCCTAATCAACTATCGACACTGCATGTGGCTGTTTAGTTGCATCGCATGGTACATTGGTCCCGTTCATACATGATATGATTTTCTAATTATCAGTTATTCAATTACACAACCATCACATCCGTCTCTTTATGACGATGCATCCCTCCCAAAATTCCATTTCCTGTGGAGCACACTGCAAAAAGGAAAATTAGATTTTGCAAAACGGGAAATTAGATTTTTTTTTACCCGAGAGGGCATTCCTCGTTTCGTGCATACATTTAAAATATCATCAAAAAATTTTAAAAAATTAGTCAAGATAGATTAATATATGATATATCTTTCCACAAACATGTAAGTTATACAAGTAGAAACAAAAATACAAGTAGAAACAAAATTAGTAAATTTGACTATTAATAGAACAATGTAATTCTCGGTCAAATTTATTATTTTTGTTTCGAATTTTATAAGTCGAATTTGCATATGCATATTGGCGGAATAACATATATATCATATATCTATGTTACTAAATCTATTCATTTTTTTAACTTTTTAAGCGGCATGAAAAAAAAATAATGGGATATTCCCTTAAGGTATGAATTGAGTTTCCCCGAAAAGAGAGTACTAACATGCATGGATGGAACAGAGAATCAATGGCAAATTCAGATAAGTCATTTCTGGCCACCTTTTTTGGAGCAACTAATTATTAAGTTTATGCTTATATTTCTGGCAAATTAATTCGTTGTTTTCATGTGATTTACCAATAAGGACTTGAAAATTATATTTATCAATAGATGAAAAATAAAAATCAATAGCCAAGATTTTTTTCATTGGCTCTTACCTCTGAATGAAATTAAGAAGAGCACTAACAAAACTCTTTTTTCAAATGAATCAGTGAACTAAGTTAGTCTGACTGGTCACACTATCTATTGTATAGAGAAAATTCCTCACATTCCCATAAATTTCCCCTCAATTCTTTCTATACCCCTAAATTTTGTCCCATCCCTTACATGTCCCTAAGTTTTCATTTTGATCTCTTCTATACACATTCTACTAGTTGATCGTTAACTTTTTCTTTAAAATAACTATATTGCCCTCTCTTATTAAAAATTCCTAGTATAAAAATATTCATTTGTAAGAAAAATGAACGGGATAAATTATTTGACCACAAATTTGGAAACTAGAATTTAAAACTTTTAAATTAAATTAAATTTAAATGTGATGTAATTTATACAATATTTTCACCAAAATTTAAACCTGAGTAAAAACTAATTTTGATTTTCAGTTCATGGGTGAAACTCATGTATGTATTTAATAAAAAAATAATTCAGTATGAAAACCTAAATTATTTTTTCCGTTAAATAATTCTATCATATTTAGTGTTATTATAAATATTTTTTCACATTGATATTTATGTTACGGTTCCTACAACTATCAGTCAACTGATGAAATTAATTGGTATAGAGGTCAAAATAAACACTCATGGGCATGTAGTGGATCAAACAAAATTCAAGAACATAGAAGGAATTGAGCGAGCGTTCATGGGCACATAAGAAATTTGTCCTATTGTGTTGGGTTTAGTCCCACATCGGTAATTGATGATGGGGGAGCACGACTTAAAAGGTGGGGGCAGTCCTTATCCATTAGACTAGTCTTTTGGGTTGTGTAGGCTCAGGATCTAAAGTTGTGGCTCCGGTTGGGCCTGTGGTGGAGCAGGCCCAATGTGACCTGGGTGGCCCACTGTTGGTGGGTCGGGCTGCGCACTTTAACAAGTGATATCAGAGCCCAAGGTTTGGAACCCGGAACGATTTTCATGGGTCACATGGTGGGTGGGCCCGATGTGTGATAGGGGAGATTGTTGGGTTTAGTCTCACGACTTAAAAAGAGGGTGTGTAGATCCAGGATCTAAAGTTGTGGCCCCGGTTGGGCCTGTGGTAGAGCATGCCCAATGTGACCTGAGTGGCCCACGGTTGGTGGGCCGGGCTGCGCACTCTAACATATTGTATATGCACCGGATCCAAGTCTATAAGGCATTGTAACTACAAGATATCGAGTCTGTATGCAATAGTATTCTAATGCAGTGAGAGAACCATTCGAGTTTAAAGCAAGGGTGCCTCTTTTTACTATATAGGAAAATAATTTACTCTAGCAAAAAATAATTTTTTTTAGATAATGGAATATAATATCCCGGCCTTTGTTCAAAAAGAACTACAGCCAATTATTACAAAGATTCACTCCAGAAGAGAGTGTAGTTCAAGACAAGTTGAACACACCAAATAAGAGAAGAGAGGACCCAAACTGAGAAAAGCAAAACAAAATGTGGAGCTAGAAGGCCTCGTCAAGGCCTAGGACTGGAGTTCGAAGCCAATGCATAGACCAATGACAATATCCTTGCACGAAGAGGTTTTTCCAAAACGGTGCCCCAAGGAGGATGCGACGTGGATCGCCGCCACCGCTCGTTCGGAACCGAAGCAAGGTTTTCACCCAGAGAATATGGTAGGGAAAGGAAAGGGGTATGCTAAAACAACGCCTCCAAGGAGGGGAACGACGCCAAACGGCGTCGCCGTTGTCAGCCAGCCAAATGGCTCGGCAAGGCTTTCGCCCGCGATTCCCTGTCCAAACCCACACCACCAATCCACACAAGAAGGATCGTCGTCGGTCAACAACATTGTCCCTTCAACGATTCGGCCAAGGCCACCGCCCACAGTTGTTCCCGCCGTCGACGGCACGCCCGCACCCGGACTCCTCCTTTCCCGCCGCCAGACCCCTTCCCCGCCTCCACATACCGCCGCTGCCGATGACGCACCGTCAGCCGGATGATGGCCTTCAATCATCGCCGCCATAGGTACCATCGTCGACAGCAGCCACCGCCACTGCCACAGCCACCACTGTCACCAGCCGCCACCGTCAGCCGACCGCCACCTCCACGGACACCCCCGTCCAGCCACCACCGTCAGCCGCCACCGTCGCTAGCCAGCGCCGCCAGACGCCAGCCGTCCAGATCTGGTCGGGGTGGCGTGGATCAGAGGTGCAGCGCGAAGCGCGGGTCACCGGCATCATGGAGGAAGGCGTCACGGGCACGGCGTTCATAGCCAGAGCATTGACGAGGGCGCCGCGCCTCTCTCGTGGCGGCGAGGTTCTTGATGAGGGCCGGCGTCGCGGCACGCGCCGCAGTCCGCCGCCGTCGTCGCCAACTTCGTCGCCACCACATCTGCCACCATCGCCGCCGCTAGCCACCCCCCTGCAAGGTCCGCGGAGCGGCGCCGACGATGACCGAGCCCGTCGCCGGTCACCCCGGCCAAGCGGGGAGATCAGATCTGGCGACGCCGTCGCCCGTCGCTGGAGCCGTGGAGAGCCGACACCGTGGCGCCAAATAAATATGATATCAATTTATCTTGACTACCATTCATCTACAAATAAACAGCATATGCCATGATCTCATGAGGGTTTAAACTTTAAACCGATGCTTGATCTCATAGGATATTATTTCTCTAATTCCCTTTGCCGTAACATGAGAATATCATTCCTTAGCACTCAGAGGACAGGATAATGTGATGACAGTATGACACTTCCTTTTATTGGCACCTGAATCAGAATGACGCAATGGCTGTTGCAGCGGCCGTCCATGCAAAAGAGACAGGAACTTGCAGCTCTCGTTCTTAAACCAACATTCCTTGTAGATGCTATGGAGAAAGAACAATTCTTATTCTTATCCTAGAGAAATAAAATAGTAAATGTTGTACCTTCGATTTTTGAAATAAAGCAATCTATTTTACTTATAATCTTTTATTTTACTTTTGATACGAAGGTAAGCATAATATTCGTGTAACCGTGGGGACAATAGTTTTACTAAAGTTTCACTTTTTTTTTCTAAAAAAAGAGGAAACTATCTTAACCGCCTTGCTTGGGGTGTGAATGGAATAGTAAAAACTCAAGTGCCAGTGGGGATAGTTCGTGAGTTTTCCGATGAAAAAAAATAGAAACCACCTCGTTGCACTTAAGCGTAACCTCGCGCGCTCTACTCGAACGGTTAGAGGGATTTCTGGCGAAAAAGGCAGAAACCATATCGTCCTTGTGAAAGTAATTGTAACGTATGCTCATACATTTCTATGATGGTTTGAGAGTTTTCTAACAAAAAGTAATAAAAACCGTGTCACTTTACCCATAGCGTGAAAGTAAGCATAACACTTGTGTGATTGCTTGCGACATTTGAAGAGGTTTTAGGGAAAAAGTAAAACTGTCTTGTCTAATTTAGAGTGTTCAATTATGGCTTGCAACTATCTCACATCTCGATGGTTAGGAGTAGCTAACAATTATAACTTGCAAGAATATCTCGCATCTTGATAACTAACTATATGTTATTACATGATTAAAAGAAGCCAGTATAAGAGAGGTGATATATTGTTTAAACCAAATTAAATAAATCAAGGAAAAATTAGAACCATGCCATTATAATTTTGCAAAATTTAAGATATGCCATCCTGACCCACATGTTACCGATGACATATCTCAAACTTTACAAAATTATAATGACATGGTTCCAAATTACCCTTAAATCAAATGGCAAAGCCATAAGGTTAACATTTTTTTTTCCCAAACAATGCACATATCCATCGGCTACAACTTGCAAACACCATCAACCACCAAAAAGCATAAATCCCCCCACGCACGTTTTCCGAGGCTATTTTGGTCTCTTCCCAAAACGGAGCAACAAATCCATGGGAGGGAGAGAAGAAGCAGCCCAACGATCGGCTTCAAACCGGAGCAACTTTTTTTCTCTCTCTCCTCCCCATTATCGGATCCTTCCCGTTAACGGGTCTCCTCGTCTTCGCTCGCTTACCGGGTCTGCTGGCTGGCCTACCCGCCGGAATCTTGCGTCATCTGGCGGCCGCCGCCGTCCGACGACGACGGTGCGGAGGAGGTTGGGTTCTTGATCGGTGTCGGATTTTTGGTTGGTTGACGGGGTTTGTGAGGTGTGGCGGTGACTTGGAAAGATCCGATATATACTCCGGCGCCGCCGCGAGGGGAGATGGATCGGGACGACGAGCGGCTCGGCCGCGCGCTGGCGGCGTTTGGAGGCGGCGGCGGCGGCGGCGGCGGCGGCGTGTGGGAGCTCGTGGACGCCGCGCTGGCCTGTGCCGCACGCGACCGCCCCGACGAGCTGCGCGCGCGGCGCGACGGTATCGTGGAGCGGCTCTACGCCGCCGGCGGCGGCGGCGGCGGCAACTGCGGCGCGGCGGCGGCGACTACGCCGTCGCCGCGTGGGGCGGCGGTGGCGGAGGGTGAGGACGACGACGACGAGGCGGCGGCGGCGGCGGACGGCCTCGAGATCAAGATCTTGGCAATCAAGGACTTCTTGGAGGACGAAGACCAGGTCCTCAAACAATCCATTTTCTTCTCTTTTTTTTTAATTCGCTCAAAGAAACCGCAGAAATCTGACACGAGCTGCACGTTTTTGGTTTGCTTCCTCGCAGTCGGAGGACGAGCTGCTGAGCTTGCTGCAGAGCCTGGCAGACATGGACATCACGTACAAGGCGCTCCAGGTGAAAACAAAAGCTTTTTTACCCCCATCTTCTTCTTTCACCTTCACTGCTGTTCTCTTCTGTTCCCCTTGCAACAAAAGGAGATGAGATGAAGTTAGAAGTTCATGCTTTGTGCTTGTCCAGGAGACTGACATCGGACGGCATGTGAATGGTCTGCGCAAACATCCCTCCGGTGAAGTCCGGCTACTTGTCAAGCAGCTCATCAGGTGAGTAAGAAGAAGATGATGAACATGGATAAACACTATAGCCAAGTAGTGTTGTTGGAATATGCGGTTTAATTGTCCCTTTTTTTGGGTGAATTTTGGTGTTGGTTGCAACTTGAAGGAAGTGGAAGGAGATAGTGGACGATTGGGTGCGGTTACACAATTCCAGCGGTGACGCCAGCAACTCGATCATCAGTATGTCGCTGTGCAAAATATTTGCATTTGTCTTCGGCTCATGTTTCTTTCTTTTTTTCTTCTTTTACAATTCATGTTTTTGTTAATCCTGATGGGTTAAATCGGTTGCTTTGATGATGGCAGCCGATGGCAACTCCCCGGAGAAAATCCAAGGCAAGAACCAGCAAAGCTCTCAGGTAAACTGTTCTTGCTAACAAGTGGCTCTGAGCAACTGCACACCACAATCTTCTTTTAGTGATTCCCTTTCCCCATAGAAAGTTTCCTTTTAGTAACATGTCATTGTGCCCAGAATATTCCCTTCTCAATTATCCCCTGTTGGTTTACCAAACAAATACTACTACATTTCAGAGAAAAAGAAAGGGGGATTGCACATGCTTTTCTCATGCTGATTAAACTAAGAGATAATGCAAAACCAGTAATTATTAGTTGTAGTGACAGCACAGTTTGTACTTTAATACATCCTATATATACTTTTAACTTCTATTTTTTGGTTCCTAATTGTGTGACAATGACACCTCCTCTGCTGATGCAACCTTTCAGGTTTCAGAGTTCAAGTATTCCCCCAGCCCAAGTAGGCATAGTGAGTGTGACAAATACGCTACCTTCCATGGATTTCTTCAGATTTCACTGTTTTGAGTACCCATAATTACTGATTTCTTGTGACATGTTCCTTTTCTTTCTCTGGATTACAGACAACTCAAGCTCAGAGAGGGTTAGCAATGGGATCGCGTCGATAGCAGCGACAAAACATAGAGCAAGCCCTGCGCCAGCGCATCATAATGCAAGGCAGATCAACAACACCCACCATTCTACTACTTCATCTTCTGCTCCAGCTGTAAGGATGCAACCAGACCTTTCTTTCCATTTCCCCCTAAGTCCCTATTGTTGTCGGGCAGAGGTTGTGCACTGCATTTCGTTTAAAGTAGAAGTAGCACTATCAGCATGGACCCCGGATGTAGGATCTTTTGACTGATTCGTCTCACTTGTCACTACTCATTGTACAATGGTGTCTAATCATGCAACATGACAATAAAGGCTCCATGTTCCACTTTCAGTGAACAAAAGAGTGACTGTTACCACAAAGTTGGAAGCTTTTTTGAAATGTTTTATTCGTGTGCAGTGGGTGAGTGTTGTTGTCATAGATAGATGTGAATGTCAGAATGATTTTGGTGGTTTTTTCATGCAGAGGATGGTGAAGGAACAGAAGGACAGTCATCTTGACCTTGAAAGGCTGGACTCTGCGAGGAAGAGACTCCAGGAGAATTACCAGGAAGCACAAAATGGTAAATTTACTAAAACTTTTTGTACACCTGCATTATAAGCACACTGCATAACAAGAATGTCAAATGGTTATATTTGAAAGCAATTTGTCAGGAATGGTCCTACAGGAACAGATTGAAAACAAATGTAAGTAGGTTAACATATTTTTATTTGCGGTTTCCATTTTTGGCAGCAAAAAAACAGAGGACGATTCAGGTGATGGACATCAATGAAATTCCGAAGCCGAAAAATAGAAATGCCTTCATCCGCAAGGGCAATGGGGGTGGGTTCCCAGCAAGGCACCGGTGACATTGCATTTTCTGGGAACCCAGATTTCAAATTTGTCTTTTACAAGTTGCACTAAGAAGAAAAGGAGAAAAAAAAGAGAGGTTTCTTTTCTTCATGTGCTATGTATTGGCTAGCCTCAACTTCAGTCTGATATGTTCCATGTACATGAGAGGGATGCTTATGGTTTTTGCAGGAGAAATAGAAGTTTAAAATGTTGCCATTGCTTGTACAGTTTATTTAAAATGTAGCCAAAGTTTAAATCTTGCAACTTAATTTTAGAGTTGATTTTAAGGATTTTTTTTCATCGTAGTTTATTTCTGAATATTGGTTTTTAAATCATTAAGAACAATAAAAGTTTTATGTATGAATATTTTTGCTTGCTTCGTTTATTATTTCACACCTTATCAGTTGTAGAGTAAATGACAAAGCCTTGTTTCTTAGGGCCTCTTTGGTTGGGCCTAGGTTTATTGTGTTAGGCTTTTAAGTTAACTTTTCGCTTTATATTTTTATAAGCCGATGGCTTTAAAGCATTAAGTATAATGGTAGAGTCATATCTTCACTTCAAATAAGCAAAAAAAAAAAAAACTTCTACAACATAGGTTTTAGCTTAATAGTGTAAGAGTGGCTTTTGGCTTTTAAAAAAGCCAAATTGAAAAACCGCTCGTTTGTTTAGATTTAGAATTTTTGCCTTATAAATCTAAACAAGGAGGGTCTTAATCATCTTTTTAGCTTTGGTTCTTTTGTTAATATTTTCCTTTCTTTCTCTTTTGCCCCGTGCCTCAAAATTTTCATCTATATATGCCTTGTAAAATCTTTTCGGGCCTGGGCCCTTGGGCCGGGCTTCATTCGAACAGGCCAATAAATTATTACCGGATCCATCGATACCAGATCATCATTATCCATCGGTGCTTCGCCATGGAATGCATGCACGGCGGCGTCCGATCACCACGTCGGCGCCGGCGGCTTCTCTGTGACGACGTCCTCCGCTTCCTTCCAACAACGGGCGGCGGTGGCGCCGCCTGTGGCCGCGCGTCCCCTTCCCTCCGCTTCGAGTCCTTGTGAGAGAGAGCCGCGGCCGGTTCGTCGCCTTCGTCAACCACGCCCTCGCCACCATCGACGCCGCGCATGCAGGTGGACGTGTGGATCCGGCATGGTATGCAGGCAGCAGCAGCCGGTGGCGAGATCTTTCACCTTGAAACTTCGTCGGAGGAATTTTAGCCTCAACGACGGCGGCGGCGCCGTTGCTATCCATGAACTCCCGAGCTCCACGAGATTGGAAGCCGCCATGACATTGTCACTGGACAAGGTCACCCTCCGGCTCCCCGGCGACAGCCACCTCCTCGATCGGCCGCCTCCTGTCGTCGCGGCGCTGCCCGCGCCTGCAGAAGCTGGCTGACAAAGCTGCAGCTCGAAGCCGGCCGGCGAGCTATCGGAGCTGACGCTGCAAAGTCCAGTACTTCATCCGTTTCACAATAAAAGACTTTCTATCATTGACCACATTCATTTAGATGTTAATAAATCTAGACATATTTTTGTGTTTAGATTCATTTATATATATATATATATATATATATATATATATATATATATAGCAATGCTAAAAAGTTTTACATTGTAAAACAAAGATAGTACTTAATAATGCATTAATTAACCTACGAGGTAGGTAACTAGATGTTTGGGATGGACGGTGGCTGAGCCAAGCTTGGGCTGCTACGTCTTCTTCTCTGCAGGCTTCACTACTCGCGGCTGTTTTTGTAGTTGGGCAGCTTCTGAGGCTGCTTCGCCGTCGGTGATATCCTAATTATGTGCAGTATGTGAGAATGGATATCGATTTTTTAGACGCTCTACAGCTTAAAATGGGTCTAGTAAAAAAAAATCATTTCTACAGTAGTGTACGCATGCATATATAGAGCATGACATATATGTCACTCATGCACACATACGTACACGATGGTATAGAGGAGCAGTAAATTAAGGAAACTAATTAACATGGAAATTACTAATAGTAAATACTCCCTTCGTATTTTAATATATGACACCGTTGACTTTTTAAACAACGTTTGACCATTCGTCTTATTTAAAATTTTTATGCAAATACAAAAATATTTATGCCATATTTAAAGAATATTTGATGATAAATCAAGTGACAATAAAATTAATGATAATACCTAACTTTTTGAATAAGACAAATAATCAAACGTTGATAAAAAAGTTAACGTCGTCATACATTAAAATACGGAGGGAGTATATAATACTTAATAATGCAATAATTAATACGTGGTAGGTAACTGATGTTGGGGTGGACGATGTATGAGCCAAGCTTGGGCTGCTACGTCTTCTTCTTCTCAGGCTTCACTACCAAGGGCTGCTTGTTGTAGGTCGGCAGCTTCTGAGGCTGCTTCGCCGCTGGCGAGATCCTAATTAAGCTAGCTACTACCTTATTATGCTAGTAGCTTCTGAGGCTACTTCGCCGCCGGCGAGATCCAAATTAAGCTAGCTGCTACCTTATGCAAATAAAGTCTCCATTGGACGGACTCAAAGTACTGTGTGTATGCGTCATGCCCAATTAGAGCAGCTAGCGACGGAGTTAGGTTTGGAGCGTAGCACGGGCTCAACCTTCTTCTTCTCTCCCTCTTTCCACCATAAATCCTCCCTCACATCTCCATGGAGTCAGGACCAGCGGCTGGGTAGGGGGCTCAAGCCCCCCCCCCCACCCAAAAAAAAAAAAACGCAACCTGGTTCGGACATATATATTTGAATTGTTGGATTAGATAGTAAAAATTAATATTCCGCACGCACCAAATATGCGGGTCATACGAATAATGCTAAACTGATCATGCATGTATTTGTACGCATACGTGTTGAACGCAACAATGAATAGAATAGCTGTACAAGATAGAACATGACATGAGCCTCTGTTTCGCTAAAAATGTCTCACTCTTAATTTTTGTTGCTACCAATATGCATGTATATATATATCTCCAAAAATATATATGCATGTATATCATTTACCGTTCCATCTGTGTGAACAACTCGCTCGTACGTGCAAATTAATCGATCTGTTCTGGCTTCCATTAACGTACGCACGTACGTATTATTAGTTGGGCGCGTATACTTAATTTGTTGCCTCTTGGAAATAGAAATCATACAGGCAAGATGTAACTGCCTCAAAGGAAGAGATGAAGATAAAATAATTGAATACCCCTTCTGCTACTACACAAATTATGTTGCTTGCAAATGCGGGAGACGAGATGAAGAGCGAAGTTTGATGAACACCACTTATTGATCTTGTTGAGCAAGGAAATTAACCTAGCTGTGATTGGCTTCAGCCCTACTAGCTAGCTGCTGGTTCCCTCACGCGATCGGCAGAACAAAAATAGAGCCGACATCTCGCCTCCCTTGCGTGCGAGATCGGTTTGGGAGATATGGTACAGTTAAAAAGGCTGTTTTAAAATAGTTAGGATCAATTATTATGACACTTTTGGAGGAAATGGTTTTTTTATTCAATATCTTTTGGTATGTCCCCAATATAGGATTTTTGGGAGTCTAATTTTCGACACCTCTTGGGAGATGATCTAAAATAGACCAGGATATCACATGCTAAACTGGCTACTTTGCAATATGAAACCGATGTGGATGTGTTAAAAGGTTTATAAACTCTATGTAGAACTGTATATTGTGAGGCTTTATGTGCTAATTATCAACATCATAAGTATATCTTGTGTATGTATTTGGTTAATTTGGCCTACTTAAATAAAACATTATTAGACAGTTTATACCACAAACATATGCCCCTGGCCTGTTACCCCCTCTTCCTCCTCTCGGTACTATGGAGCAAGCATAAGGTCCCCTTGTTCCATCCTCCTACGCGGTTATGACACTGGTGGAGAAACCATCTTTCGTCGGTCGGCCGATTTCCACAATAGTCCCGGATGCAATAAAAACCGGGGCTAAAGATGATCTTTAGTCCCGGTTCAAAAGGGTAACGGGCATATTTGATCTTTAGTCCCGGTTTGTGTTACCAACCGGGACTAAAGATCATCTTTAGTCCCGGTTCGAATGCTGTCAGGGCCTGTCAGGCCCCCCCGGGATCTTTAGTCCCGGTTGGTAACACCAACCGGGACTAAAGATCGTAACTTTAGTCCCGGTTGGTATTACCAACCGGGACTAAAGATCCCGGTGATCTTTAGCCCCGGTTGGTGCTACCAACCGGGACTAAAGTCCCACCCCTATATATATATGTCTTCTTCCTCCTCCAGCTGCCCGAGCAAGCTTCAAAATTTCTTCAAAAAAGAGGGGAGGTCATGCCAAAATTTCTATTGAATTTATTTTGGTGATTACATACAAATCGGAGGTGCCTAAAAGGTTTGCAACTTCATCCTCCAATGTTTTTTTTTGTCATACTACATTTGCACCTATGTTTTGCACACTTTTTTTGTCTCCAAAATTTAGTTGTAAGTTGATGAGAGAGAAAATGTGTGTGGGGAAGAAAGAATATATAGAAATTTAGTTCATTTGCTAAACAAGGCTTTATAAAATAGTTGAGAAGGAAAACTCTAGTGAAAGTTAATCTTAAATAATAGAAAACAAACTAAAATGAAAATTAAAAGAAGTAAAACACATTAAAATTAGTTTAAAACTTTACAAATAGTTTTTAAGAATTATTTGGTGTAATATTTTATGATTTTTGTATGAATAAAGATATCTTATAATTATTGTATGACTGTCATTATTGTAAGAATAATTATTTGTGTACGGTTTTTTTGACTCATGTAGATGGATCGGCAATGGATGTACGCTGACCGGCGGTCCAAAGAGTTTATTGACGGCGTGCACTATTTTTTGAGAGTGGCCGAAGCTAACAGGCAAAGGGGTTTTATTTGTTGTCCATGCAATAAGTGTAAGAATCAGAAGGAGTATTCTGCATCCAGGACTATTCATTTCCACTTGTTTGAGTCGGGGTTCATGCCAAGCTATAATTGTTGGACATCCCACGGAGAGCAAGGTGTTGAAATGGAAGAAGATGAAGTGGAAGACGACAATATTTCGGACTTTGCTCAGTATGTTGGATTTGAAGGAAATCAAATGGGCGAGGAGGAAATAGCTGCTGATGGTAACGACGTTGCGGATGATCTTGGTCAGATGTTGCAGGACGCCAGGGAGGACTGCGAAAGTGAAAAGGAGGCCCATAAATTGGACAAGATGTTGGAGGACCACAGAACTTCGTTGTACCCAGGTTGCGAGCAGGGGCACAAAAAGTTGGATACCACTCTGGAGTTGTTGCAATGGAAGGCAAAAAATGGG